TCATAAATGGTAAATATTTTCTTAATATAGCATATCTAAGTGATTTACCCAATATATAAGCGGTTCCAATGTATTATAAGTATTAAATTAGTTTTTTGAAAAGAAAAATTGTCATCAATATTTTTTTTAATAAAAACGCTAGTAAAATGATAATAAAAATCATACTTTATAATAAAATATTGTTATTTTTATCAAATAATATAACTTATTTAAATTGTTTTAATTAACACTACAATATCATATGATCCAATGGTTATTTTAACAGAATGCCAAACATACACATTCGATTTAAAAAGTTAATTTAAATTTAATGGTTTTTTTACTCATCTAATGATAATAATTCAACAAACAATTTGAGTGAATTAATCTTATTTACTCATTTGTGTTCTACTTTTTCTTAACCACATTATCACTTTTCACATTTAAAGTAGTATAACCATGAAAAAGAAAATTAAATTGTATCTTATTTCATAAGATAATAAATATTATATTTGATTATTTATTTTTTATAAATATGAAAAATAAATTAACACAAAGAAATAGATAATCTTTTTATTTCACTTTATTTATTTGAAAATCAATGTCGGATTATAAAAATTACAAACATACCTTAAAATTGTATATGAAATTTGAAAAACATTCAAAACTTTTTTAATACTTTAACTATATTTTTTTAATCAAATTTTATCCTAAATTATTAATTTTTATAAAAATGGCTCCATTTTAATTTTTTCATATTTTATTTTATTTTTAGAAAAAACATATTCAAATAATCAAATATTATTTGCAAAATCAACAACTTAACACAAATTCAACTTAATTTTTCTTAAAAAATAAATTGGATTTGTTTTTTGTAATAGTGTGTAGTAGTTCTTATATGAGATATAATCTATGACATTATACGTTTATTTATTTTGATATATTACTCTTTTTGTGCAATTTAGTTGTATGTCTCAGGTAAATTAGTCAAGTATTTTTTAGAAAATGAGGAATGTAGACCATATTTAAAAAGATATGATATATAATTTAACTTGACCTCACTTAACATCTATGACATTTAACTTCCAGTGTGCACATGTTAGTATTTAAACTTATATAAAGTTAAACAAGTAGACACATGTGTACTACGAGACATAATTCACGTAGGACGCCACATAGAATGTCGCATAGGACATGAATTATATCTCCGCGTAGGACGTCAAGTAGGACACATGTGTCTACTTGTTCAATTCTATACAAATTTACGCGTCTACTGTGAACATCCAAAATTGGAGGGCATTGATGTCAAATGAAACCAAGTTAAATGACATATTTATGTATTATGCCTTTTAAAAAAATATATTTATATTTTTTATATAAAATTTGACCAAACATGACTTTAACTATATATTTTTTTAATAAAATAAAAATTATATTTTCATGACCGAACCACATTAAAAAAGGAAATGATTAAAAAGCCTCAAATTTAAATTTTGAATATGAAAAAAGTCTCATTAAAAGTGATAAGTACATTAAAAAATAAATAAGAATTCAAATTAATAGTAACACTCTAGTACGTATATACAAAATCAAATGAGAAATTATTATTTTTTTTTAAAAAAAATGTGTGGTCTTGAATGTATAGACTTTTGAAGTGAATCAAAAAATGGGGTCCATGTTTTAACTTTGCATTGATTTCATTTACTCCTCCCAATGTGTTGGTACATGTGTGACAATTGGAATCCACAACTTAATGGTGGATACATTGGAAATTACATAACTTTTGGCTGTATTTTTGGAATGTTCAATACTCTCAATGCACAATGTACACTTACATTAAGCTTGAAATTTTATTAAATTGACAAAACTGCCCTTGGTCGTCTAGGGCTTCACATTTCTATATAATCGAAAAATTTGTATATACACTTTTCTCTCGTTTTATACAAACACAAACACATTTTATACATTTGTATACCGAATGGATAATTGTATACCGAAAATGACTAATTGTATATCGAATCAGATGACAAAAAAATGGGATGTTTGCTGCGAATTACAAATAAAATAAACTATGGCTATAACATTTAATTTGAATTAATAGTTTGTTATTTCATACAATTTTTCCTATAATGTATTAATCATATCTTCAACAAATATGACTAGAAACTATAAAAACAAAATAACTAATTTGAGTAAATCATGTGACATAATCTTTTCAAATATGGCAATTGAGCTAAAATCACACTCTAAAATATTTAAATCTCTCATTACCCTTTTCAAATATGGTAATTCAGCTAAAATCATTTCCTAAAATATGTAAATCTTTCAGTTTGAAAGAGGAATCCAAATTTCTCTTTCATCTATTTGGAAGTATTTGATAAAATTATAGTATCTAACTACACATTTGATATAGTTCAGTTTATACACCTTACATTCAAAAACTATTTAAAAGGAAACTAAATAAGAATATGCTTGGAGTATTACGTTCTTTTCAATTAACTTTTTTAAAAAAAATTGAAATACTAAAGGATGTAGCATGTCAGGATAAACATATAAGTCACTGCTAGAGTAACGAAATTTCAATTTAGGCTTAAGTGATCTGTGACGCCTTAAAGTTGTCCGCATAATTCACTTAAGACACCTCAATTGAGGCTAGTATCTATTGAATATTTTTATCTATTTAAACTTTATTCCTATTAGACACTTTTCGGTAATCAGCAAAAAATGTAAAGTGTGTATGACACACTCTCGATGACATTGTAAAATGTTTAATGAAAAGATGACACGTGACAAGTGGGCCCCAAAAATTATAAAAAATGATTTTTAAAGTTTAAAAAATAAAAATTATTTCAAATACATTTCAATCTTTTTTTCTTATATATAAAAATATTGAAAATAATAACACATACTATCCAACCCCATGCTACCCCACCCCCCTTTCTTCTTCATCTTCTTCCCTAATTCCTGTAACATTTCATTTCTAAACCATAATGAAACTCAATATCTTATCAAATTATTTACCGATTCAGTTTTTTTTTAAAAAGAAATTCATACCTAATACGTGAGAGAAATATATAGAGAGAGACACATACAAGAGTGATGAAGAAACGAAGTTTGTTGACGGATAATCATTTCAAAATGGATTGCAAAAGAGAAATCAAGAGGGCTCAAATTAATTTTATTGAATTCTTTGATATTATTTTTTATAAGTTAAATGGGTTTACATTTTAATTTTGAGTGGTGAGTTTGTTTGAAGATGGCCGGAAATGGACCTATCAGCTAAATTTTTTACTCCAATGTCCAAAAAATCTTCTTTCGTTTTTGAAGATCCAATGCAGGTGTCTTTGAGGTGAACAAGACGACTGAAAGCGGAGGTGGGAGACTTTTTCTTTTTGCGATTAAAAAAATTATTGATTTAAAAAATATTTTTAAAAAATCGTTCAAGTCATTTACTATGATAAGAATCAATGGAAGAAGAAAAAGTGACGTTTTCTTGAAAAAAAATACGATTTTAGAAATCTTCACGCGCCAAAGGAAAGTGAAAAACACTTTTTCTGCCATATCAGTATTTTGTGTTTAATAGGTATACATTTTGAACAATTTAGGTGTTAAATAAGTACTAGCCCTAGTTGAGGTGTCTAAGTGAAATATACGGACAACTTCAAGAGGCTGTAGATGACTTAAGCCTTCAATTTATTAGCATAAAGGGGTGGTGGCGCAGTTGGCTAGCGCGTAGGTCTCATAGCTTCTGAGTAATCCTGAGGTGGAGAGTTCGAGCCTCTCTCACCCCAAAAAAAATTTTATTTTGCATTTTTATAAGGAAAAATTACTGATGTAACACAATTTTGTATAAATTTGTATTACAGAATAAAAATGTTATAAGCACCTCTTATACACTATTATATATCGAGTGTATAAGCATTGTCACACTTTTATAGATGATTTTGTTTTTGAATATACAAAAATATATTTGTTAAAAACTAAAGATGCCTTTTGACATGTTTTTAGTTTATAAATCTAAAGAAGAAAATCAATCAATAAGAGGATCAAAGTTGGGACCAGACAAATGGTGAGTAAATTACTTCAAATTTTCTTTTAATGAAAATTTAAAAATAATATATACGTGACTCATGAGACAACTCTTCCATATTTTTAAAAATAAATTAGTGTAGCAGAAAGAAAAAATGATACCTAAGATTAGAAATCGAATGAATAACTTGAGTAAATTAAAATAGATTGAAAACATGTTTAAAAATATAAAGGGAAAACTAAGCAAACGTCTCATAAATATATAAATTAATTATAAATATATACCTCTACATTGATGCCCCTAAATAATTACAATAGATATCTCAACTGATATTAAATCAATATACAAAAAAATCAAAATCGCCAAAATGAATAAACCAGGTCATTTGACAGAAATAGAAGGCTTTTTCCTTTCAAGAAAGGCCTATGGAGTAAAGGGAAGTAATTTTATTCTTGGAAGGAGTGAACCTATATAAAATAGAAAATGAAATAAAAATATTCCATGAATAATTAGAGCCAATAATACAAAGATAATATTAAGCCTTTTTCAATATAGAAGTACAAATATGACTCTTCTTTAAAATTCGTGTATATTATTCATAGCATAATAATTAAAGTTGGAATGAAATTTATGTTTATGATAATTTGTTATATAGAACCTGACAGGGATTTACACATGACTTAGCATAATTAAAAGAGTTATTAATCACATCAGAAATTTCAATTGTAAAAAAGAAGCTAGTACAACAGAAAAAAATTATGAATCACATTCCTGCAATTACAAATAAGCAATGGAATTATGATGTGACATTAAGATCCAAAATATTTAGCAATAGTGCAAAACAGCATAACCAATTCTCAACTACAAATAAAAAAGTAAATTGAGTTTTCAAAATTCTTCAAGTAGAATTTAACAAACCACACAATAATCATACTTCTGATAAAATGAAACATGCTATCATGTCAGCTGATAAGAGAACAAATCCAGCAAAAAGATGAGATCAATTAAGAAACTTCATATATATTGTTGAAAACAAACCAAAACAAGGAACATTATGTTTTTGAAAATCTGCGTAAAATATCCCTCAAGAACAGAAGTCAAAATTTAGAATACTAACATTTCATAATAAAGAAGACTACTAGAACAAAACAACAGAGCACATAACATCTAATGAATCAAGCCTCAACCCTCTCAGGTGCTGCCTCTTCGGTGGCGTAGACAATCACCTTATTGGCAGGTTTTGCCAGGATATCAAAGTACTCTTGGAATGGAGATTTGGTGAAGCGAGTCTCTTTCCAGAAATCTGGGGTCAGGAACCCGTAGGTCTTCATTAAACAATCAAATGTCGCCTGCATACATAATATGAGTGGCATCAGACTAAAACACACAAACAGCAAATATATTGTAAATGAGCAACAAAGAAATCTAATACGTTTTATGATATACAGGCATGGTCACCCCTGTTTTGGATAAAAATAGTACTCTAGCTGGTTACAGCAAAAAGTTGAGTTATTCTGCAGTCCCTTCCATTTAAACAAGGTCTAAGATGGTGTTTGGATCAACGATAAGCCAATCCAAACACCCTCTACATAGAGTCATTTTATAGCTTTTTAAGAACAAAGTACTTATCCCACATTGCAGCACAAGTATTGCAGGAAATGGTAAGAATTGATAATGGTACAGCTCCTATCCCACAATTTGACTTGCTCAACACTGTATTTGAACCCAAAACACACTGTCCCAATTTCAACACTGTATTTAATCACAACACACACTGTCCCAATTTAACCAATACATCAATACTTTCGGAACTAAACTAAACAATCGTGTTCTGGACAATGACAAGATTTGGAACTATAAGGCTAACAATTGTGACTATCTCTGTAATAATCTACAAAGTTCCAGTGCAATTTTTTCTAATATTTGGGAACTTTGTAGCCAAATATTGATATAGATATAACTTTCTTATAGAAAAGACCATTTTTTTTATTAACATAAAAATTCATGGCTATTTACAAAAAGTTCTATTTAGTGCCATATTAGCTATTTTAAACAAAATGTATAGCCAAATTAACTTTTATGTTAAATTATAATGTTATACGCATCAATTCTTATGCTATAGTAATAGAACATACATGTAATAGAATCATGACACAATTAACAATAATGATATTTGCAAGATCTGTTAGAAGATCAAACCTTAACGAAGTTTCCAAGGGTTTTGGTGGATCCACGAGAAGATGTGAAGACATCTTCAATACCAGCAAACTGAAGGACCTTCTTGGGGACACGAGCAGCAACAATACCAGCACCACGAGGAGCAGGCACCATCCTCACAGTAACAGACCCACATTTCCCTGTAACCTTGCAAGGCACAGTGTGTGGCTTCCCAATCTTGTTACCCCAGTAACCTCTCCTCACTGGAATCACTGATAGCTTAGCCAATATAATTCCTCCACGAATAGCAGTAGCCACTTCCTTCGAGCACTTAACACCCAAACCAACGTGACCATTACCGTCACCGACGACAACAAACGCCTTAAACCTGGTTCTCTGTCCGGCACGGGTCTGCTTCTGAACTGGCATGATTTTCATCACCTCATCCTTGAGAGATGGTCCGATAAGAGTATCAATGATTTGAAACTCCTTGATTGGGAGTGAGTGAAGGTAGATTTGCTCAAGTGACTTGATTTTTCCATCTTTCACGAGCCTTCCTAGCTTTGTCACCGGAACCCATTTCTCCTCCTCTGTTTCACGGCGTGGACGACGGCCGCCACGGCCTCTTCCACCGCGGTCTCCACCTCTACCACCACGTCCTCCAAATCCACGACCGAATCCTCCTCTCTCCCCTCCTCCTCTCTCCGCCATGATTGTAAGGTATTAGATTTACAGCTAGGGTTTAGAGAGAGTGTGTGAGAAGATGAAGAAAACGGATTGTTAGGTTTATAAGGGAGCTAGGGTTTCATAAAATGGGCTTGAGGGAAATCAAGTCCATATGGAACTGCAAGTTTGGCCCATGATGCTACAAGCCCATAATAGTTTGCAATTTTTAGCAAAAAGTAACCAAATAATTAAAAGAACAACTTTCACATATAGCAAATACAAAAATCATATTTGTATCTTATAGTTATAGTTTGCATAATTGTGTCTCATTGCAAATTTTATCTTTGCTATGAAACTATTAATCTGTATATTCCAGGATTCATTCAAAGCTATATATAATTTTATTTTCTAAATAAAATTAATAAAAGGCTGTAAATTCTGTTACAAAAAAGGAAGACAATCGCTAAACTCACGCAAAAAGATCTCTTTCCTTCTGCGACTTCTTCATCAGTAGTGACTCCATTGTAACTAAGTACACGTAGGGGTGTGCATTCGTTTTTCGGTTCGGTTTTGTGTTATTCGGTTTGGGTTTTTCGGTTTTTGGTTTTGAAAAAGTATAACCCAATCCGAACCAAAAAAATTGGTTTGGTTCGGTTTTTCTCTTTTCGGTTTGGTTTTTTTCGGTTTGGCTATTTGGTTATAACTTATTTCATAACTAATTAAGAACATAATCAAAGTTATATTTGCATGCTTAAAAAATAAAAATTCCATGTAAGGAAAAGTAATAATATTGAATCTCTTAAATATCTTTTCCATTATAATCACGAGTAAAACATTAAAACACAATACTATCAATAATTTCAATGAAACTAACTCTAAACTCTAAAGTACTATCACTTAACACAAATCGCATCAAGGTTGAACCAGCAATTCAACTCATGTCTTCAATTAAGATCTCTTAAACCTGAAATATGATGAAAAAACTTTTTAGAAAGAAGTAGATGAAAATTTCAAAAGCAAATAGCACGCAAATAAAATAAAGCAAGAAAAAAGAGCAAACTGCAAAAGTAAAAAAGTTGACTAGCGCCGCTAATTCTAGTTCAGCTAATTTTTTTTCATGAAAGTGCAAGTAATATGTGATATTTATAGTTATAATGTAAAATATAATGCCTAAAATTTAGTGAAATAGGATGGCAGTAATTTGATATGGGCCTAAATATTACGGTAATTCTGAATTACTAGTACTCTACGGCCTACATAGTAAATCTAAATAGTATAAGTGTAATTATTAGTCTATATATATATATATATATATATATAAAATTCGGTTTTTTTTGGTATTTCGGTTTTCAGTTTTCTAAATCCGAAACCAAACCAAAAAACCAAACAAAGTAACTTATAAATCCAAAACCAAACCAAAAATCCAAAAAACCAATCCAAATTACAATTCGGTTTGATTTGGTTTGGTTTTTCGGTTTAATCCAAATAGTGCACACCCCTCAGTACACGTTTGCCTAGAAATTTAACACCCTGAAAAATAATACATATACAGTTTTACTCAAATATACATATATACATAACTATGACTTATTGTGTATAAATATGACACAAATACAGTTAGCGAATTGTATAAAATAATATTTAATTCAATTTATCCTATACAAGTTTTATAAATAAGATTATACATTATACAACACATTTCAATTGTATAATCATTTGTATTGTATATATATAGTGAGATTATTGTACTTTTATTAATGGAGAAAGTTTGTATATTAAACCTAATGGCTAAAAAAATACAAATTTGTATAAATAAACATATAAAAAAGTACATATAGTCATTCTGTATAACACTAATTTTATCTGAATATAACATAAACATGTTTTATGTGGATATTATATATTATACAAAACATTTCAATTGTATAATTGTTAATATTGTATATATGGTAAAATTGTTATAATAACTACCGCTATTTATACAATAAGTTTGTATAAACAAACAGCTATAGGGCAAAATTTTACAGAGACTAATATACAATTGTAACACATACAAATTAATGATTATACAAATACCCGAACTTCTTCATGTTCATCTTGCTCCAATGAGCGAGAAACAATTTTAATATACAATTGCTTTATACAATAAGTTTGTATATTAACCTAATGACTAATATACAATTGCTTTTCCTTTCCTCTTCTTACTTGAACTAGTATCGTACTGATCTTTGTCACCTCCTTCAACATTTCTTCGATTTTGCACTAATTTCACCCAATCTGATTGGGTCATTCTTAAATTTGGATCTGATGTCTTTAATTTCTTTGAATTTGTCTATTGAACCTACAACCTCTCCAAAATTCTGAGTTAGACCCAAGGAAAATGTTCATCCATTGTATAAGTGAAAAATATGTATGGATTATGATTTCATATGAAAGTTAAAGAATTATGGGAAAAATTGGGGAAAAAAAGTCGATTTAGAGGTTTTGGCGGTACCTGAAATTTTTGAAATCGCATAGTAGTGAAGATTTGAAATTTAAACTAATTTTGTGGAGAGAATTTAGGAGAAATTGAAGGGTATGGGAGAGAGGAAAGAGATGAACTGAATTGTATAAAGGAAATGACTTCCATTTTTTTCTAAATTTATGGGACCCGTCAGTAGCAAGATATGCGAAATTGTAGCTACTCAAAGGAAATAAATGGAACAGTAGCTATATTATTTATTTTCAATTAATAGTTTGTCATTATGCACAATTTTCCCTAATTAAAAACCAGACATTTTGAGGAATAAGTATCCTTTTTCCTAATTTAACTCGTCTACTAGAGCATCGTTTGGTTTGAATACAAATTATATTGATATTATTTTTTATTGACGATTTAATTTGTTGTACTAAAAATAATATACATTCTAAAATTAAGTTATTTGATTGAATAAAATATTCATTCTTAAATATAATGACCGTGATAACACCTATGTGGCCTAAGTGCACCAGTAATTTCCACAAAATACAGAAGCAATAATTAAGTATGCTTTTTACTAATTTGAGTAGTATACTAAGAATATAATTGTTTTCCACCTCATTAAAATAGGAAGAATTGTACTCCAATTATATAAATTAATTTTCACAGATATCCTAGAAACCTAACGGCATATTTCACATTGTTTAGTCCTTAAAATTAGGTATTCAATTTTTTTTGTTCTTATTTTATAATTGAATATCCTTTAAAACATATATCGACATCAAGAATGTGAACTAGTTGTGAGTGAATCGGTTAAAAACCCTAAGGTGTCACAATTATAACTCAACAAATATAAAAAGTCATTAGATGCCATGGTCCTAAAATGGCCTTTTTTTTAATGTTCATTTATTGACAGATATTTGGTTTATAATCTTCGAGTCAGAACTAAGGCTCCTTAGTTTCCGAGCAACTCTCATCATATTTGGTTCATTTGAAATGATATACTAATTAGTTTGTGAATTTGCTTGTTACTTTGATGAGATACAATTACAGTTTGAATCTCTAAACTATCCATAAGGGTTGAGTTTGTGAGCTTAATATTTCAGTGAACGAGGCCCGAGTTTCTCCTGAGTCTTGAAGGTCCATAGTTGTGGGAAGGGGGAAAGTTCATTGGGGCCATGCTTTGTGTCATCGTAGGGACAAACACTGGACGCCCTTGCTGGACATGAAAGGGTTGCCAAGAAAAGAGGAGTGGATTGGCATTGATCAACTCCGGAGGAGTGAAGAATGGAGTTTGCACTAACTTGTACATGTTTGGGTATGGAACTAGGTGATGTCGTAGGTTCCACAGTGTTTGAATGGTTTGAAGAAAACTTGGAACAAGATTGGGGGCTAGTGGGTCTAGCACATTTGTCATCCACATTTGGTTGACAAAGTTCTCTGTTGCTATTGACAAAATATGGATTCAACTGAACTCAGTAATTTTGATTGAAATTCTATATTTGTCTTAAGAAATTCATTTGATATATATTAATTATCAATTTCGATCAATTCAACAATTTAAAAGGATGAGAATCCCTCCGCCCCCACTAGTAATTAAAACCCCACCAATGAGTGCCCTCAGAAGGCTGCAAATAAATGTGTAAGCATAGGCCATATATAGAGCCCCATGGTTGAGTTGTTTTGAGAAAATAAAGTAAAATTACTAGATATTATTGATCCTTAAGGAGATCCACTTATATATAGACTAGTTTTTGGGTATGCGTGTAGTCAAGTGTACTCATTACTATAGTATTTGACAATCGTGCTCCACATAAGTCCTTAGACATCTTATTATAATGTTTGACTTGTAAATATTAAGTATTTATAGGATTTATGTTGCACTAAAAAGTATAAATGATGGTGGATATAGGAAGAATATTTACCAATTAGTGTTACACATATAATTGTTAGAGTAAGAGTGTTTGTTTGAAAATTAAAATAGTTATCTAATTTTATATGAATCATTGATAATGAACTTTATACTTTTAGATCTCTTTATTATTAATTAAAGAGGCAATATATTGATTCATGAGATAATGAACTGATTAAAAATGCATGTATAGTCATTTAACATATTTGCCAAATATTTCATATTATCCATGTAAAACACAAATGATATGCATATAATAAAATATCTAATCTTTCATTAAGATAATTTTTAATTTCATTTGGAAATAAGAAATATAATATTGTACATGTTCCATGCCAATAATTATATAAAGTCTAAATAAGTAATATCTATTTAATTGTAATCTAGACACAAATTTCTTTATATAAGCAGAGAACATATTTAACTAAAAAGGAAAAATAAAATAATACATTATAAAAGAACATTTAAAACTGAAACAAAAATCACTTACAAATGGTCATATCACTATAAGCACTTTACATTAAAAAAAAAGTACAAATAATTCATTATTTTGTTGTAATTCATACAACATAATAAAAAAAAAGAATTATGTTCTTTCAAACATTCTTAACAATTAATCAATCAATCAATTATAACGTCTTTGATCCAAATACTACAATAATGTTATTGCCCTTAACAGTTCTACAAAGATTGATTACAACTTTTCTTCTGCGGTCTATGACTATGACCAAAAAGGAAATCAAAAAAGAAGAAAGAGATGATATA